TCTCTCTCTCTCTCTCTCTCTCTCTCTCTCTCTCTCTCTCTCTCTCTCTCTCTCTCTCTCTGTGTGTGTGTGTGTGTGTGTCTGTGTGTGTGTGTCTGTGTGTGTGTACGTGTCACCGCTTCCCCGCCTCCTCGTCCCCCTAGCTCCGTGTCAATGACTCTCTCTCTCTCTCTCTCTCTCTCTCTCTCTCTCTCTCTCTCTCTCTTTTTTTTTTTTTCCAGTTCTCTTTCCTTGGGTAGATCCGCTCCTCGACCGCGCGTTCGTCGTCTCCGCGATCGGCGTCATAGTTCTGATTGCCACGAATAAGGAGGCAATCGGGGCAATCACAGACCAGTGACTTTCTCTTCCTGCCAGACCCATAAGTACACCCCTTCAGCGACAACAGTGACTTTTTTTTTTCTTATTATTATTATAATTGTGGTCCGATGGACCACTAGGATAAGATATTAAACTGATCAAAACAGATACTACACTTCTTGATCTATTTTTAGCCAAAAGGCCGAGAAAGTTATTCAACAGTGACTGTTTCTCTTCCTGCACAGCAATTTCTTCTTCCCTTTTTGCTTTGCTGCCATGCAATTTTTCAGTTATATTTAGGTAGCTTGCGGCTACCGTCTTCACCCGAATACTACGCCCGGTCATTATCGCTGTTTGTGGACTGAAAGGTGCCCCATATACATCTATAATGACCGGGCGTTCTATTCGGGTGAAGACAGTATCCTTACCGTCCACCGACCCACAACTTCTCGATTTACGCGCCGTGTCACCTCACATTTTTGTTAACTGGCTTCTGCGCAGCAGCCAGTTAAAAAATATCTTCGTGAAAGGAAAAGATACAGAGAATGAAGATTAGCATGGCCCCTGAGCCGAGGTCCCATTAGCAAAGATGCTAGTGGGACCACGTATTTGCAGTTCCAGTTTTAATTTATCGGTGGTCCCGAAGGACCAGACCCATATTTACCGTACTCGATGATTGCCATTTGTTTTCTCTTGGACTTCCGCTTTATTACCATCCAAGCTGTTTTAATTTGACATGTTTTTTACATATAGATCATCGATCATCAATCGCGAAAAGTAATCGACTTAGGGCATATACTCACACTACCTCTAAATGTATCCGACTGCAACTGCGGCTACACCTGGATGTATCTGACGCCAATCACGTCCAGAACTCAGTCAAAACGTTCTACAGTCTTCACCGAACAGAACGCGCGGTAATTATTGCTGTATTTGGGGCAACCCTCTCAGTCCACATGCAGTAATAATGACCGCGCGGGGGTTCTATTCCGTTGAAGACGGTAGTGTTTTATATATATCCTCCTGATGAGTCGGTGAAACTCCGACGAAACAGTTTGTCACAGCCCCTCGTTTGTTGTCCACTTCTCCCTCTCTGCCTACGGTTTACCGGGCAGTTCTATTTGACGATATATATATATATATATCTTCTCCCTCTCTGCCTACGGTTTACCGGGCAGTTCTATTTGACGATATATACTACGACTTCGCTAGCTTCCT